ATGTTCACACCCCAGGTCAAGGCTGGCCGGGTGCGATGGGGTGTGGGGGGCTGCGAGCTTTTGCCCAGGGTTTATCCCGAGAGCTCCACAGGTATGGGTCACCGTCTGGGGTGTTGGGCTGTGCACGCACAGGTGTGTGTCTGATCTGGGAGCAGCAGGGGGACTGGACAGTGTGACAGTGAGGACGGCTGGGCAGGGCTGTGATGCCTCCGGCCGGCTACCCCTCGCTGTCTTCGTAGAAGTCAACGGATGTAATCGAGTAGAGGATGGCAGAAACCCACTCCATCTCTATGACCTGGGGCGTGACCCCATAGGGCTGTCCAGGAGCAGGAGCAGGAGCTGGGGATTGCCGGGGAAGGCCTCTGACAGCACCCAGACCACTGTTCATGGTAGTCGTTCAGTGGATTGTGCTCTAGGAGCCGGAGCCATGGAGGCTGACCCGAGGCTGAGCAGCCTGGGGCTGGGTGCCTGTGGGTGTGTGGGGAAGGGTCGCTGTGCTGGCCCCACAGCGAGGAGCCCACAGGACCTGGTGTGGGGCCTGGAGCAAAGACTGGGCTCAGAGCGTCCAGCGGGTGGACTGTAGTCGGGGAGACGTCCCGGGGAGGGTTCCTTCCTCCCTGGGGCATCTCTGGGAGACTCTGGGCTGTGCACGCACAAGTGTGTGTCTGATCTGGGAGCAGCAAGGGGACTGGGCAGGGGGACAGTGAGGTGTGCTGCACAGGGTTTTGATGCCTCCGGGCCGGCTACCCGTTCCTGTCTTTGCAGAAGTCAACGGGTAAAACCAGCTGCAGGCTGGCGGATACCCGCTCCATATCCATGACCTAGGGTGTGACCCCACAGGGGTCCCCAGAAATAGGTGCTGGGCATTGCCGGGAGGGCCTCCAACATCACCCAGAACACTGTCCGCGGTAGTCGTTCACTGGATTGTGCTGCAGGAGCTGGAGCCCACGGAGGCTGAGCCTCAGGACGAGAACCGGGGCTGGGCGCCTGTGTGTGTGTGGGGAAGGGTGGCTGGGCAGGGGGACAGTGAGGAAGTCGGGCAGGGCTGTGATGCCTCCGAGCTGAGTGACAGTTCCTGTGTTTGCAGAGCCCCATGGAAGCTGGCTTGGCTTCTGTCCCTGCACCTGGCTCCTCACACATGCTAGAGATGCATATGGAGTCGCTCTAGCTCCTCAGATGGTGGAGTGGCTGAGAGAGGAGAAGAAAAGCTCAGCCCTTGCCTGCTCTCCGTGGGCCTTTGCAAGACAGAGCCCAGCCCAGGGCCTCCCAGAGAAGCTGCAGCCAGGAAGGAGCCCTCCCCGGGACGTCTCCCCAACTTCCGTCCCCCCGCTTGGTGCCCAGTCTTTGCTCCTGCCCCCACACCAGCCTCTGGGGCTCCTCCCTGTGGGGCCAGCCCCGACCCTTCCCCTCACACCCACAGGCACCCACCTCCGGTCTTCTCAACCTCGGGCTCAACCTACGTCGTCTCTGTGTGCTCCAGCTGGGCCATCAGAAGTTGGGCACGGGGCTCGAGGTCAGAACCGGGCATGTTGAGCTGCACATGGGCCACCAGCTGCTTGAGGCAGGGAACATCCGGGCTGACTGAAGTCCTCTGAGTACTGGTCCAGCCAGGTGCCCAGAATGGAGGAGATGGCCCTGGAGGTAG